AGTGCAGGCCAAATTTGGGGACTATCAACCCCCATATGCGATACTTATCTGGGGTCTTTCTTCCCAAGAATAAAGCACCTTCTAGTGCCAAGGTAAGCGACTTTTGAAGCCTTAACTCCACGGCCCCTATATGCCTTCATGGCTCTTTGCCTTGGAACAAAATTAAATTTGCTTTTCGCTTAAAAGTTTTATAATGCATAATTACTGAATCTCGTTATTTTTTCGGACGTTCATGTTTGAGAGTTATTTCACACGGATTTCTTGAGATCGCACTATCACATCTAATTTGTATTAGAAGCTTTCAGGTACTGTATGTGTCGAAACAAAACTCGATAAAAGCCTCACGATTAGTTTGGATATTTAAAATTTGTATTGTGTAAATATTTATCCACATTTTTAGTCATGAGGGCAGCGCACAATGGCTTTTAGCGGGTTTTGTTTCGATAAAGCTTCTAATGCAAATTAGATGTGAAAGTGCGATCTTAAGAAATCCCTACTACACTACGGAGCTAATGTATTTTAACAACGAAGCTGAGGGTAAAGGAGATTCTCTCCTTCAGTCTTGCGCGTGCCGCAGACAGACAAAGCACAGTGCCTCGAGCTGTCCAGATTTATTTTGTGGATTAGTGTGAGGACGAGACGAGCTACTGGATTCTAAGTCAGGCCTACAGCAAGAGTGTACTAAACCTCTCTATGTGCCCATACTTGTTAACACAATTTTAATATATTACTTATATTTAATAGAGTAATTCATTTAGTGTATATTTTATAGGCCTACTTATCTGTTAATATTTTTTAAATATATTATGAATGTATCCAATCATTTGTTTATTCCTTAAATTATTTACAAATAGTAATAAATATGTCGCGTGCTAAGCAAGACATTAAACTTAGCTAGTACTAACTTGAACCTTGTCAAGAGAGAAATATATAACGAAATACCCATACGTATCGACATTAAAATACAACATTTTGTTTTATGCCATAAGAATATGACAAAACTGCAATGATGAGGTCTCGGGTTCAAAATCAGCATCCTGGTAAATTTTAGGTGCTTTTCCTTAGTTACTTCAGACAAATGCTGGGTTAGTACCTTAAATTAGGCCACGACGCCTTCCTATTATTTCCTTTCTGATTCAATATTTATTAATTGTTCTATCATTTACGCTGCATAATCTGAGCGTCGTTAAATAAACAACAAACATTACAATCATATCTGGGGCACCCTATAACAAGTAGCTAGGTAACTAACTGTTCAACTAACTCCATGGAACAAGAAAGATTAATATTCACTCAGCTGGACAATCATTTCGTATCTTTATGATCTTCGAATGTTCACTGCCACAGGCCGTTATCATGGACCATAAGAACCCCGAACAAATTCTCATATCCTATTCGATAAGATCCATTTATTTTCGCATCTACTTCTAGGTTTCCAAAAAAGCGTGCTATATGAAAGGTACATCTTGTCGAAAATAATAATATATACAGTATTTAAATTATGAAGAAAATGTACCTTTATTCCACTTAAAGTTTAACCGCGTAGAATTTACCAGAAGGGACTGTCGAAATTCAGTAAACTGATGCCCTAATCCTCCACTGAAATCTATGTGAAAATAAGGAAAGGGGGGAGATATACGGATGGGCGTGATGCACGGGGGAGGGGGCAACTCAGAAAAGAGAAAGAAATTTTGAAAAATTACATACAAGCACTAAGCAATATACGGCAAAAAAAATTCTGCATGTTCCAAACCCTAGGGGAACGACGAGGGTTGAAATCTAAGTGGCACTAGGGTGAAACGAGTCTGCATAAGGGTTGGAAGGGAGTAAACTGCAAAGCAGGGAGAAGAGTTGAAAGAGATTTTAAGGAACCATTTATATGCGGGACAAGGTTTTCTTACCTAAATCAATAAAGAATGATGGATATCACTTGTGAATTCGGTATGTTTACTTTACGTATTCTTTATTCTGGCAGCTTTAGATGCAACGCACTTGACAGAAGAGAAGCAATTCTCGTCTAAAATTTAAAACTTCAACATGTGTAACAAAATACAGTGTGCTTCATTTGTCACGGTATTTTCACCTTCTCGCAAAACGAAGTACTGTGTTAAAAATTAGACCACCAAGATTTCAAACGGTAGGTATACACGCGAAATATTTGCGAGACAAAAAAATTGCTCAAGATTTCTGTTGTTGTGTAGTCTGGTCGATGTTTACCAACGTTTCTGATATCATACTGCCTCCGTCATCAGGGCGATTCATCGCTACTTGAAATCGGCTAAGAGAGGAACTGAGGAAAACCATATAGATCTTATATAAATAAACAGCAAGAAAGTGAAATTGCTATTTAATCACGCTTTTCCACCTGTAGAGAATATAAATCTACAAATTAAAGAGACAAATGTGAAGAGAGAGCAGATGAAGATTTCCAAGAAGACACCGTGGTATCTTTTAAATATCTCGATATTAGTCTGAGGAGAGAAAATAGAACACGAGAAATTCAAATAAAAGTACTTGATAGAAATGGATACAAATGTAGAGCGCACCACATATTCCAACCAATATTCTCGGTCTGACTGCGGTGTTGATTGGGACCCCTCAACAGAACTCTGCTAGCGATGACGTCAAAGGCACGCCACGTCCGAAGCAGGGTTTTTCGTATAACACGCAAGAAAATTGAACACAAGACGGAAGAACAGAAGTTAGAAAGTAAAGGAGGCTACAGATGTTTCTCTAGTAAAGAAGCTGTACAGAAGCAATGGAGCCTATTAAAGAAGAAGAGAGACAAAGCCGAATTTCAAATCAAGATGCAAGAAATCAGGGTACAGGATGACACTATCAGAACTCCCCCAGGAAGACCGCGATTTCAACACCTACCACAATTGAAAGATGCGTGGTAAGAAAACTTAAAAATTATCACGCCTTTTACAGTCTTAAAGAAAATCTTTTACACTATTCGGAAGCCAAGTTGATTTTGCTTTATGCAAAATATGATTAGCTAAAACTGAGTAATCTTTCTTTCCCTTGCTGCGTACAGAGCCGGCCGGCTTATAAGGGGACGTCCCTCCCAGGCGAATGTCAGGATGTATCCCCACTGTTTTCATGCACATAGCCACGTATTTTCTGTGCTCACAGGCTCAGTAAACCGTGTCATTTCATCAGTCGTGACGCACAATGACCATTCATTTTTTTTTATTAAAAAACTACAGTACAAAGAATGAACAACTCTCATTTGCATGCTTTGCAACACTTTAACTTAATAAAAATACAGGGAGTAGTGAGATTTTCCTAATTTTATTTTTATATACAAGTCTCCATGAAGCACGTGTTCAAGCATTTCTATGCTACAGTATATTATGCGTTTCTATTTCATATGTCGTAATTGAAAACAGAATAATAAAAGAAATACAATTAACATAGTCACGATATTCCGCAATAAAAATAAAGAAATGCAATTTCGACTCGTTTATTATAGGGGGCGGTATGAAGAAGTGACAGTGACCAGACAGGACTTGCAAATGTGTTGGGGTTACTGACGTAATAACCACGTATTGTCGGTGGATGATTATAGTTATTTTTACGATGGTTCAGACCCTTAATCCCCGAAGAAAGAATCTAATGTTGAGTACTCCTACTCTGCCTTTTAAATTCCGGATTAATATACACGACAATACAATAATAGACAAAACAGTTGCTTATTCTGCATAAACTTTAGTTCTGTCGAAAGTATATAGATGTTGGATGGATGTGCTTACTGCCTCCATCATCAGGGCGATGATCCCTGATGATGGATGTTGTAAGAACTTCTGAAACTTTGTTGAAATTCTACCAGACTATAAAGCAACAACTCAGAAGACATCCTCATATCTGACTGACGTTGTTAATACATTGACTTAATATATTCTATCACTGTATGGCCGTTTTTTCCCCGAAAATTGGCCGTCTTGACTGTGTACAGACACATGAATATCATTTTGTAAAGAATCACACAAATAAACTAAAAGCAGTAACGCAAGTGATATAACAAAACATGCGAACGTTCTCAAAAACAGTTTACACTTTCATACAGGAAACTTAGACATGTATGATATTTGGGTTATAAGAATGACCTATAACCATATTTTCTATTCAAAATACTCAAATACAGCCATATTTTTGCAAGTAGAATATTACGAACCTCTGAATTCAATTTTATATACTAATTAAGCATTTTTAATAATACTTTATTCTTTGAATAATAAATGCAGAAAATGTTTAGAGTCCACTAAGTTTGGTGCCTAAATGTATCTTTAATGTCTAAAAAATATGACTCGCATTTCAAACTTTATCTTCTACATTTGTAGGTTACTAAAAATATTTAGAAGCAACGCTCGTAAGAAACTGTCATGGACTTTAAAAACAATGAACGCCTGAGGTACGTGGATACAATTTCACCAAAACACAAGAACATGTTAACATATGTTCTGGCTAGTACTCTGGATATTTCTAAATATTGAATAATATTGGCCAAAGATTACAAATATTTAATTATAATCAATGTACATTAATAAAAGTAATTTTACACTAAAACCAACCTATTTTAAGCGTGTTAATTTAGTTCTTACTCAGTGAAATCTGAATAAATTAATTTACTTAAAAATAATTAATCACTGGTTAATTCCGTTCTGATATTGAAACTAAAGTCCAAATAATGTCGTAAATGCGGTCAATACAGAACATATTTTTCTGTTTAATTCTTAGTATAGTAACCGCAGAAAATGTACACGTAATGTATGAATGCCTCAAGAGTGTAACACACATATTCACGCTTTATAATCCGTTGGAAATATTCGGATGAAACGTTTGTGAGAACTATAAATTTTGTTTCTTTTCATGAAACGACACGCCAGTGGCCTCCACGACTCTCGAGTACAACGTGCGATAAGGGATGGTGGCAGGCGAGACTGAAGCAGCATGCTACACACAGAGGACACCACGTGTCGAGCCGTCATGCCTCTCACCTTGCTGGGGTACCCGTTGTATCTAAGGAGCTTCTTACAACATTTGCCTCTGTTCTCGTAGTAGAACATCTGGACCATGCTGGTGGTTGCAGCGTTGTTCGGGGACGCCGTCGCCAGGGGTTGCTGAGGCGATGGATGGCGTTGCTGCTGCTGCTGTTGTTGTTGTTGTTGTTGCTGCTGCTGTTGTCTTCTGATCGGAATACAAAGACAGGAACAACAACCACCTCCCGGTAGGAACCAGAAGGAAGAACTAGGAGCTTCGTTCGAGCAACGGTCCTCAGGCGTTGCAGTCGCCTGTGTTGTCTGCCTCATACCCTCAACCTTTGACCCTAGGCCTTAGCCTCTGGGACGCTACTTATACTTTACAGGAACGGTAAGAGAAAGAGAGGAATAAAAAAAGACAAAGGCCAAGAATCTCCTACCACGACAAGAAGAAATCCTCTCCCTAATATCACTACTCCTACTTTCGTTAATTGTGTTTTGTCTTCCGGGACTCTTAACACCAATGATCCCAAAAAAATCTTCTTTCCCCCCCCACTTTATATTCCCGTCTGTTACAGCCACATTTATAAGATTAATTTTACCTCGCCCTACCCCTTACGCGATCTACTCACTTTCCTTTTATAAACAAAAAACCATAACGTTGACGCGAAAGAAGGTGTTGTCGTTCTCTAGTGGACACGTCTGGAGTCGATCCCTGCTACCCAGCTACTGAAAATGTCTCCGCTTGTTTGAGCAGTTGCTGGCGACGCCAGCCGTCAGTGCGCTCACAGCTCCACTCACTGGTGATGCTGCTGCTGCTGAATTTGCACCACCGCCACTAGAATCATACGAATCACCTACCCAGCAGCATCCATCCCCTCCCCCCACTCACCCAGCTCCTTCTGGACCCTGTACTGCAACAGTGACCTAAGTGCAAACATATTTTCTTCTTCTTTCAACATTTTACAACTATTAATAAAGTCTTCTCGGGCTATCAGCTGTATTAGAAGGTGATTAATCACCATCTAACACGGATGATAACCCGAGAAGACTTTATTAATGAAATCCTTCGTGAAAGCTTCACATAATATTTTACAACTGTTTGCTACGCAAAATAAATTACAATAAGCATCAGTCGACTTAGTGTTATTCTTCTAAATTTAAAGAGTCTGTAGTTGGGATTACAGATTAAAGAGGGCGTGGGGTCTCCAAAACAAATGACAAATAGCCTACATTACGACAAAATGCACTTAACTTTAATTAAACAATATGCGAAGTAGGAGTGTGAAATTATTTACGTAAATGTGAAGTGTAAGCAATTCATAATCATAAAACCAAAGCGTCGTATCACCGTCTTACTGTCTTCGAGTGCTGTCGATTACCATAAAATACACCTACAATTTCCTGTCAGTTTCATCCACGTTGCTGATAATATGATTTAGTGATTAGTTATATTATTTAAAAGGGATAGTTGTACAATGCTCAAAAGATAAACTACATCAAGGTACTACCTTTGCAATCGCCTAGAGAAATTGAAGAAAACCGCGTTCACCATGTTAAGATTCGAACCGGGGATCTTCAGAATACTGGTCTACATCACGAACCTACTGTTGGTATTGTTAGTATAAAGAATACATGGAAACAAAAATAGATACGAGGCATTTGAAACGCACGATGATCTCCTTTAAATCTGACAGCGGGAATTTTAAAAGAGCAGAAATTCCTGGGGCATCCGTGCAAGGTGTTATGACTTTGGAACACGAAGTAAATTGTTTCAGTCGTAGTACTGAACTACAACTGGTCGGCGGTAAAAAGCTATAATTAATTGAACTCCTCTTCATGTTAAGAATTCATCCAACATGCATTTAGCTTTATGTTACATTGAAATAAATTGTTTATCAGATATTACTGTCAAGTATTCACTTATTCACCTCCTTAATGTAGATAACATTTCAAATTAAATTACATTACAAATCCCCAGCAAAACTTACAACCATTAATATTACTCTTAGTGTTCATTACGTTTTGTTCGCAATGTAAATTAAATTAAATTAAATTAAATTGGCTGTTCGAGCAGAAAAGGAAAAACACTATTTTTCACCTTAAGAGATTAACCTGCTAATGGTGGTTGGTCCACTTTTGCTTACATACTGTGTGAATCTTTCGTCTCATTCTAACACCCACACGTAACATATCATCTGTCTTTATCTAGAAGCCGACTGGATCAGAAGAGGGATGCTGTATGACGCAGGCGCGGAAAAGACGAATACGTGACAACAGCTTGTGAAAAAGAGAGAAAGAGGGCGAACGGATAACAGCAAAAAGGGAAAAGGTAACAGATAAAAGAGATGGAGACAGCAGAAGAATTCCACGCTGATACCATGGGGTAGAAGAGTGGAGACCGAGATACGCCTGAAGAGGAATAAAGTGGAAGGAGAGATGAAAACAGTGGCGTATCGGAGAGAGATTGTGATGAAGTTCGGACTTTGGGAACCCATAAAAACCAGGAAGTTCTTGACTAGCTGGGTGACTATCAGCTTTTCAAGAGGGTATCTGCTGCAAAAAATGTAAGTTCATTTGCAAGTAGAATATGAGGTTTTCATGCCGTAAAGCCGATAGCCATTCAACTAAAGCATGCTCCAAAGAAAGCTAATTGTAATTCAAAATGCAGATTATAAAATGATACGCATTTTTACACACTGCACATAACATGACTAATTCATAAAGATGATGGAAAATCTTATTTAAGGCGAAATAACAAAAACCTTTAAATTTTAAATTCGAACGTGGAATTGTGCGTTCCGTATTACACTCTTTAAACTTATTATAACTAGGCCGGTGCCAAAGGTGTTTCCTAAGTCCAAAAATTTTAATATATTGACGGACTTCTGGAAGACGATCTGGTACAGGTCTTGAATTAATAACCCACGTACAGAGTTTACAAACAGCGTGTGTTAAAATGTTCACCACATAATCTTCGTAATTAAAGATTATTAGAAAACTGGAAATTACTATTATACGCCACTGATTCGTAAGAAAAAATCATGTGAAAACGAGAGGAATTTTGAAGGTTGGATGAAGAAGATGTACGAATAACGGACATAGAAGGAGCAGAATGATATAAATGAGCGAATGATAGTAGCGTGTAGCATAACCACCTCTGTGGTTGTCCAAGAGCCGGCTAGGGGGTGATTCCCCTTCAAGAAGCAGGAACGGCGAGCGTCAGAGACAAAAGAGACGCGACCATCGATAGCGACGAAAAACATATATATCGAAAAGTAGAACACTGAATGAGGGAAAATCACCAAAATAGGAAATAAAATAAATGAAACGACGAATAGACGTGTATTACGAATAAAACTGGAAATGAAATACGAGTTTTATTTTTAGAAGGCGAGGAAATGAAAATAAATGGTTCAAACGGGATAAGAAAAATTGTTTTGTACTTCTTCCAAACCCTTCAACTCTATCAATCGATTCATTCTCGAATCCGTCTAGATAATTGGTGGGTTTTTATTGAAGTATCTGGCCGAATATAAACTCGCATTTAAAACGAGACGAAGTTGAGAAATGTGAGTAGACAGGATAGACAAAATAATGAACGGCCGATGACGGGAAGAATAACTCACAGTCACAGTGATGTATTCTTGGTGTGTACAGGGGTCAAGGGTACTACGCTTATATTAAAATAACAAGAGTGAAGTATGGAGTTTTAGTTTCTTTAGTAAAAAAAATATATAGTACTGCAGAAATGTATGCGTATGGATCAAGGTGTACGACGGTATTACATTAAAAAGGCGAGATCATAGTAGGGATTTTTAGTTCGAGGATGATCAGAACATTCGATGTTTCACTAAGCTCCAAGTCGAATTTACAAAGCGATAGTAAATTAAATTGCGGTGTTTGACCCAAAATGAAAGAAAATTATGTCTGAAACAGACGAATTTGCATACTTGATAAATGTTCCGAAAATTTATATTTTTAGGTATCATTAGTTTATATATATGTACATATCACAATCCTCTGCCATATTGCGCTTTTAAGTCAGGAAATATTCTTCCGAAACGTGGGTATGTTCATACAAGTTCACACAACATTCATCATAGAATCCCAACACTGACATTACAGACTTGCAGTCTCCCATTAAAATTGTCATAAAATGAATTATTCGTTAACTTACGTTTTGCGAAAACCCAAAGTTCCGGAAAACGGTACTGTTTCCGTCACCAAAAACACAATAACGACAGGTAAACAATAGTTCCACCTGAGAGAAATTAGCCCTTTATAGCCGAATTGTAACTACACAGTTACCAGCTGCTTTAAACATAAGTTAATTTGCATTTATGTATTTACGTGTTTCATTCAATTCTACGAGTAAAAAGATGCTACTTCCTTAAACGGCATTAACCAGTTCACCTTTGTAGTCTAGAAGTGCTGTACGTTCTTTGCGGCCGGGAAACACACGGTCAAAGGCCTAACTTATGTAAAAATACGAAGTCTGTGTATTACTTTTTACCGACACACCTTCACCACATTCCCCATTACCTAAAATTTTTGCAATACTTTATACTATTGTGACAGACGGATGTTTACAAAATACTGAAAATATATCACAAAGAAAATAAAGCAAAGAATTCATATTGAAAGTTTTCTTATTACGTTCCTGAAAGAAACACATGAGAGGGGCCCTGCAAAGTGTAATAAACTTTAACTCGAAATTGCGGTTGTTCCATTTTCTTTGCCAAGTTCAAAACTCTTTCTCATAAATAAAGCAAGCTTTGTTCAGACACTTTTTACAAACAGCCTGTCTGTAATATAACACATATAGACCGATGTTTGCTTTCCTTTCATTAGAGTTTTGTTGTCTTAATGTTACCCGTAAATATGTACTTTTCTTACCCGAATAAAAAAGATGAAGATCCATAACACAAAGCAACACGGAACACTGGTGCTATAAAGGCTACAGAAACAAATACTACAGAAATTCAATTCAAATCTCCACGTTTCTTAAGTGAATATATTCATATCAGCATAAAGCAGAACTTGTTCTTCAGAATTTTACAACTTTTGCATTTCATACTTGCAGTCTTCTGGACAAAATAGCGTGATGATATCAAGACAGCCGAAGCAACTGTCCTTCCGTCTTCAACACTCAGCAAGGAGGCAGCAAGTTCCTTAGAAAATAACGTCAATGTCTGCATCATTGGAAGATTCAGAACATAAACATGTATTTATTTGTATATTCGTATCATAGGTTATTTAAATACAATACTCTGGCCAACATCTAGAACGACGGACGTATATTGGAGTTTTTATTAAAATTTACCTTGAAGAATAAGAATTTATCTAATTCCGACGAGACAGAGTGAGACTCAGTGGCACACTAGCGGTTAAAAGTATTATTCAAGGCAACATCTCTCAGAATTTGTTTGAGGTGTCTGAATAAAACCAATATAAAGCTCAATATAGCAAACCTCGGGCCGACCAATCAACACGGAACCCCCCCCCCCCCCCTGAATAATTGAAGGAGGGGTGACGAATCGACCGCTAGGTTATCCGAACTAGACGTTAGTATCGTATTCATGGTGCTGTAATTTGTCAAGTTTAATTTTTGTAGCTAACACGCGGAGAGATCCCGTTACACACAGCAGGATGCAATCAGCTTGGATCCTCGAAGCAATATGAAGGTCCCACATAATAACGCTGGTGGTGGTTAAGCCGCGGAATATTTACACCTAATAAAATGCCTAACGAATCGTATAGCGCCGCCAGCGGTATGATCCGTGAACTGAACACATAGCACAGCGGTACCTCGCAATGCAAACATTCGCATCTACAAAGGTCAGTACACACTGATTACACTGACTATTCAAGTTGAGTCATAGGCACTCGATGAC